ATTTAAGCTTAAATGAAAGTCCAATTGTTGTTTTTAAAGTACACTTATTCATTTTGGACTTAATACAATTTAATAATATTGGTTTTGAGAAATAGATTAACTTAATAAAGTTGTTTTACAAGAACTAAGTTTTTCAATATTGAATTTATTTTTTTTTTCTGTATTAATTCACAAAGCTTTAATATTTGAATTTTATATGGTTGGAAAGCTCTTTGAGTCTACTTTTTAATGGATCAAACAAAATCAAAATCCAAATTTTTTAAGAAGAGATTTTGAATTTTTACTAGACACTTTGTAGTTATCTAAAAATAACATAAGAGGTAGATTTGAAAATTCATTATAATTCGTACACAATGAATTAGGTAATGACCTTTACATGGATAGAAAGCCATTTAAGTCTAGTTTCTAAGTCTTCAAACGGTTTGTGATTTGAAGTTATATAACTTAAGATATTACCAAATTAATGAGTAAAATGCAAAATAGAAAACAATCACCCAGCTAGGATATGATTGATTGATTTTTTTTTCAGAACAGATTTTGTGCTCCGAGTTGAAAAAAGGATCAATCACCCTATGGAGGTGATCGATTACCCCCTTAAACCAATCCATCCCTTCAAGGAAGGGATCGATTGGGTTTTGATTTTCAAAGGTAAATTGGTTTTAAAACATGAACCAATCGATCCTCTCATGCAATAGATCGATCGAGTCTTGCTCAAAACACTTGAATGGCTAGTTTTTCATGCTTCCAATAGGCATTTCTTCTTCTCACGCTTCCTTAACAACTAGTTCTTTAATTTTTCTATATATTAACCACTCCAACACACCAAAAAAGGTTAATGAATCAAGAGAACAAAAGCCAACAAGTTATATTTTTGTTTTCTTATAGAATTAAGAGTTATTAGTGCTTAAAATCCATATCTTTTGTATTTGTTGTATTCAAGTAATATTGTTGTTCTTCATTCATCATATTTTTTGTACTTTATTAGACAAACACTTAGCCTTTGAGAGGTGTTTTAAGTTTGTATTTTTATTAAATGATTTTGTAATCAAGAGGTGAGGTATCCTCTTAAAATTGTGGGTTTGAAAGGTTGCTACTTAGCCTAGAAAGTAAAGAATGTAAAGTTTTTATCTTAAACCTTAGAGAGAAAAAAATATGATTGTAATTTTAATTCAAGATTAGTGGATTAAAACTTTGGTGTGAACAACCAAGAAGATAAGATGTAAGTACCTTGTGAAAAATGACTGAACCTCTATAAATCATTGTATTTGAGTTCTCTATCCCTGTCTCTTTACTTTGATTATAGTTTATATTTACTTCAAGTTCATCAATTTGTTGTCTTTTGCATTATATTGTGATATTTATTTTAATTTTTCATTCAATTATTTTGAAATCATTGTTTGAAAAAATTTTGGAAAAATCTAATTCACTCCCCCTCTTGGATCACCATCTCACCTAAAAATCTAACATGTTTCTTTATCTCAACAAGTTTCATTGAAAGGTCACTAATACTTTTCAAGTTGTAAACTCATCATAAGATCTTAAATCAACAATGTAAGTTTCAAGTTGATTGTCAAAAACTAGTAGCTCAACATTAAAAAATTCAATCGAATAAATTGAGCAAGACAAATCAACTTTCCTTTATCAAAAGCTACAAAAGAATCACAATGATTTAAAGAAACTACACAAAAAATAACTTCATATTCACCTCATTAAAACGATTGTTGAGCTCTTGAAATTGCATATCAATTATTGTGTAAAATAACTCAACCCGATAATAATGTAAATTTGTCATTGTTAGAGCATTGCATCGAAGTCTTCCACGAGTTACAAACATATCATCCATATTTGGGATGTCAATATTGTTTTTCTCACAAAATAAAAAAACCTCTTTATGCAAAGATTCCTATCCATCATCTTTCATCGTTTGTAGTGATTGCTTCGTTACTTTTACTAATGCCATCGCATTCGCAATATCTTAATCTCGCCTTCATAATGCTAAGGATAATTCATTTGTAATCCCCAAGATATTTTTCATCAAATGCAAGTTGAAAGTAAAGTCAAAAGATTGAGTCGAATCTAATAAGGTAGAAGCTTCACCTCTTTGCTCTGAGCTATTCCCATCCTACACAATAATTTCAAGCACATCAATGATGAAACTAAACATAATGATCAAATTTATAAAAATCTCATAATGTGAACCCTATCGTGTATCCCCAACTTATTGAAGACTTATTTCTTGATTTAAACCTATTCCCATAAAAAGTTCACTAACTCATAATGCTTCAACAACTTTACCAAGTTATTTTTTTTTTAAGAACATCTCTTTATTTACATGAAACCTTGACAATATTCACCACATTTGTCATGATGTTGAAAAGTAATGTAATTTGAACATGATTCTTTGCCACGGCCATAAGTGTCAATTGAAGTTAATAAGCAAAACAATAAACATAATAAACAGATCCATTATTTTTCATGATCAAAGTTTTCAATCCATTGAATTCACCTTGCATGTTGTTTATTCCATCATAACCTTGCCCACGAATCCTTGACATACTTAAATTATGCTTAGAGAATAATGCTCCAATAACTGCTTTAAATGACAAAGTAGTTGCATCACTGACATGTATTATACCCAAAAAACATTCAATAACATGCCCTTTAGAATTTATATAGTGCAAAGCAATAGCAATTTGTTCTTTGATTGAAACATACGAGATTCATCAATTAAAATAAAAAATAATTCATCTCCAAGATCTTTCACGATAATGTTGATAGTCTCAATTGCTGCAGCATGAACAAAATCTTTTTAAATATCATGTGCTATTATTTTTGAATTTCTTGGTGTATTCTCGAAAACAACACCATTGATGGTTTTATTATAATTGGCAAGAAATCTAAGAAACTCAAGAAAATTTTCTTGATTATGAGAATTTTCAATTTTATCTCTACCATGAAATGCCAAATCTTGACATAAAAGAAAGCGAATACAATTAAGTGTCGCAGTTAAGCAAACTCGATAATATTTTTATGCTTGATTGGATTATTTTGTAAAAGCAAATTGAATATATTGCTTTTGATTTAGCAAATCTTGACAACACTTCCAAGCTTTGTTATGAGCACTATTGGGGCCTCCAACATGAATATCAAATCTTTTTTTCTTTTGCCAATTTGTGAATCCATTTGAAACAAAACAATCACCATTTACTTGCTCTCCAATATCTGTTCTATAAAGATAATAACACAAACAAAAAGCAATATCATTCTTTATACTATATTCCAACCAATTAGCATAATCTTTAAATCATGTAGGAATAAAATGACGTAATGCCTTTTCAATTTTTCTTTAGAGAAAATTATGTTCATAAGGTTGACATGGACCTTTTTACAAATAAGCTTTTTGAACTTTATCATTAGCATTATAGTTCAAAAATTTTTTCATAACCCAAGATCCGAAGGAAGATTATCTAAATTTAATTCAACATGAACTTGCTTTGTATAATGTTGTATGCCACTATGCCACTAGTATTGATTCCAAATTATTCTTCAAAAATTAACTTCTTCTTAATAAGATATTTCTCTATAACTAATTAAATTAAATAGTTTAGTTTATGTAATTTATAAAAAATAATAACATATATTCAAAATACAATTATACATGTTAATGAAGCTCATCTAATCCTATATTTGAAATATATGAATAGAAATATGATTCACATCCTATAACCATACTGCTAAGTAAGAAATTAGATAGAACTTTTAACTAATTTTATAATCTCCATATAAAAATTAATTTTTATCAAACTTAAAGTTATTAGCCGAATGAGTAATAACTAAAAAAACAAAGAAAAATATAGAACATAAAAAATTCAAACATAATAAAAAAAATATAAATGCTATCAATAGCATGAATACATGATCAAATTATTTCATCAATATAATAAATTTTAAATAGTAAATAAACACTATATATAAAAATATATAAAAAAATTTTGATTGACTAATTATAAAAATATATAAGAAAAATTACTTACTTGAATATCTTGTTGAAAGAAGAAGATAACCAACTTGTAATTTACTTCTTTAGTTTAAAAACTTTTTTTTCTCCTTTTTACTTCTCTAAGTTTCTTCTTCTGGTTCACCTTGTTTTCGTTTAAAAACCTGAAAGTTGCAAAAGTGGAGGAAGAAGGTCGAAAATGAAAACCGGTTACTTTTTATTTACAAACAGTGCTTTTTTTTTTATTTTATATTGACTTAAAAATAATCTTTTATTTACACATCTATGACTTCCGATTAAAGATATTTCACTTCTACACAAATTATATATATATATATATATATATATATATATATATATATTAGTGGACGCATTATAAATGAATTAAACTTTTTAAAAATTTTATAATATATTTTTGAAAGGATAAAGATGTCAGTGGGTGCAAGTGTTCCCACTGTGCATCCGACCCTGATCATGCTGATCTTTATTTCAAAAAGATTCCTGTCCAATATTGAAGATATTGAGGATAATATATTAACGGCTTCTCCATACTCACCAGCTTCTCCCAATCATTTTCTTGCTGCCAAGTTACACGAAAGCTTCACAAATTTGTTTTCAAATAAATTGCCATTTACAGCTTCAGAATCCTTGGCATAGGTGAAAGCTATGGAGTTATTATACACTTTGCAGGGACTTTTGGTCATGCAGTTCATGCTTATGGCATACACACTGGCAGCAGAAATATCAATATTGTGGCAAATGGAATGCCTTCAATTTGAAGAATGAGCTTCCTCGCTGCATCGTTGCAATAAGCTCATTTAATTATTGATATCAACACAGATCTTCAAGCAATCAAGCCTATTTTACAGAAACACGTATGTTTTGGATGAGTTTGACTTTTTTCCATTTGATTCCTTGAATCAGTCTGAGTAAAAAGCTTGTTAATTTACAACGTAATCAATCCATTGACCGCAAAAGTAATCTATAGGTTCAAAATGTAAAATTCAGTTCCATCAAGCCAACTGACTTCCAATAATTTTGGTTCTAAACATTAAAAGAAGGTTTCAACATAGATGATTTGCAGCTTTTATCAAATTAAGACGCTACTATAGACGAAAGAGAATTCAAATTCATAGCTACTTATTCATGTTTGAACAAGGAAAACTTCTACATATCTCAGAGCAGGCATTGCCCCCATTTGTTAACCTTTCCCTGATAGGTTTCTCTTGCTTATGATGTGATGTCCAAGCCACACAATAGGTCCATTATACCTGCACATGAAGTTCATGCCACATGATAAGTTTGTTATCTCTACATGTGAGGAGAGTATTAAAATGGATAAACAGTAAAATTAGGAACATCTGGGCAGAAAAATATAACAAGGGTCATTAAAGTAACTTGCCTCAAACAAATTTGTCATTGTGTCTATTGGTAGCATAACAACAATGTGGTGAAACCAGGCTTTCTATATAGATAGCAGGCTGAAACCAATCCCATTCATTGCGTGGAGTAAAAGTTTTTGATGTCTTTTCCTTCGGATCATACCACACTAATTCCCTCCCATCATAATCTATTACAACTTTACCAGTTTTTGTATAGCATAGCGCATTCTCCCAGTGTTTATGTCCATGCAAGGTTTCTCTATGAACACAGAACAACCTAGTCCATGAGGACTTGACGCCATATTCCTTCAACAGCCATGCCTCCAAAACAGTTTCATTACCGCACCCATTGAACAGACATAAGCAATCTCCTGAAATCCCCAAAACCAGCAAATCATGTTTGCTCTCTTTGATATTATCTGGTATTGGCACCAGTTCATAGAATTTCTCTTCTACCATGTGAAATGCAACAATTACGTAAATCTTTTTTGGACCAGTTTGTCTTGATGCTAACCAATGCAATGCTCCATGGAGAAAAATCCCTCCTGCTTCTGTTTCTATGCCAGATTGGAGACCCTGAATCCTTCGCCAGATGTTAGTTTTCAATTCCAGAACTTCAACTTCAGTTTCATTAGAAGCAATAGCGGTGACTCTAACTACTTTGTAATCATCAGTTGAGGAATTATAGCCAAGACCATAAGAAATTGTACCCTTTGGATCAAAAGGACGGAGCTTTGCCAATTCCAAGGCTTCTCTAATTGTTGGATTCCACAAGAAGATGCGTTCATGCCCCAAGACTACAAATATCAAGCCATCACAAGACCCTCCTAAACCAAGCCAACCCACCAATTCATCAGAGTCAGGAGTCTTCTTCATTGCTGCTGGATACTTAAGCTCAAATATTAGTTTGCTTTCATCATCAAGATCATTATCAGAAGCTTCACAGGCTGCTGATTCAAGAGGTTGAGTGATAAGAAGTACCCTCTGGCTTATGTTATTCTTCTTTGACTGTGCAAGGTGTAGTCTGGCAAACTGAGGATCAGAGATCAAAGACAACCATGGCTTGGATACACACTTGAGTTGTATCAGATATTTGACTGGCAGCCTGGACAGTATGTTGACAATAATATCTTCAGGGAGCTGAGGGAGTGTTTCCATGGCTTCACTTCAGATTAATTCTTGTGTCTGCCGTTGCTCTTTTGATAGCCTTTAACTTAATTAGCTAAACCCACGTTGTCTTAATCACCAAGAAGCTTACATTGTACGCTATACCAAGAATCTGGAATTTTGGACGTTGTTGAAAGAATCATCAGCTCTAAAACCAAAATATTGAATGGAGAAATTTCCTAGTCAGAATAACTTTGGCTACATAAATATTTTTTAATTCAATATAAGCAACTCCACTTTGAAGTAGTCATTGAAAATGGGAAACTAATTCAATATCCTTCAAAGCTATTGAATAATCTAATTGCACCGTGAAACATCACACAATTTCAATTTATTATTTATTAATCCAGAGGTGGGAGGAAAATAGGGATTTGTACAGAGGAAGCCATATGTATAGTCCGCTCTTTTCCAATTTAGATTTGTTTTACTATCTTCTGAAAAGTAATTGACAAGAATACCATACTTGTCCAACATGTGGCAATTCACAAGACCATATTTTATTAAATTTTCTAGATGCTGTCATCAATAATAAGTAAAATTAACTTGGTACTTCTATTTCTCCTTTTTCTGGAAATATCAAACAGGAAGTTGATATCCTCAAATAGAAGATACTGCAGAACCCAAAGTTTAGTTCAATTAATTTATGCAATCATCTTTAAAATATGACATTCAGCTAATTTGAAATTTAAATCTTAACACTTTCAACCCCTTTCTCTATCCTTAAGCTACTGCTGTCTTTTAAAAAAATACTAAAAGAAATTGCAATAATCTTCTACTTTAATCAAGAAATAAAGCTATCAAAGTGCATACAAAACAAAATCCATACCTTTTTTGGCACGTGGTGTTATTTGTATACTAATGGCTGCAAAAAGAGCCTCATATATATCAATATATTTTGGAATGCGAACCTTATCTAATTAGATATTTGAAAACAATGAAATGCAAACCAGAAAAACTTGCTCCATTAAATTGTTGAAAAATACAAAATGTACAATTAAACAAATTATGATTACAAACTAGCATTGCATAAAAGGTAAGATTTTCCACCCCAACTGTCTCTTTTCTTTTATCTTTCCCTATTTCACCCTCCCTTTCTCCCCCATAATAACAAGATACACAAAACTGCAATAATTAATCTTTTTCACAAAGAGGTTCAATTCAAATCCTAGAAGTAAATGAAATAAAAACAAAATAGAACAGACCCAACATATAATAAAGCCTGAAAAACACAGATAAGAAAAAAAAATCATGTTTGGCTGAAAATTGAATCTGTCTTCTACACAGTGAGTGTACCAAAGCCCGTTGCTAAAGAAATAAATAAAAATAAATAAAATAAAATTTAATACAAAAAAATGCTAAAAAGAAAGGGGAAAGAGAAGGCAGGTACCTGAAAAGAAAACTGCAAATAAAACCCTGAAAAAATAGCTAAATTCACTCTGCCATTGTCAACATGGGGTTTCCAAGAATTAGCCGCAATTGCTCCAGTTTACGACTTGCAAGGTCACTGTAAAAACAGGCGATAAAATCAATTCACAACCAAAAAAAAAAAAAAAAGGAATTTTTAACTTTGAAAATAAAACAGGGTACAAGGAAATTGTTAACCTGGGAAAATATTCTTCGTCTATTTGCGATTCTTAAAAATTGCCAAATTGGGAATTGGTGAAATTGTGTTTTACAGCAAAAAAAAGTCAATGGAAAAGCCCCATTTTGGCATTAATGGACCCAACCCATGAAATGAAAACCGGGTCTTTCGACCCAATATGCCTATCAATTCCAATTCGGGTAATTAATTTTAAATTTGACATAAAATATATTAATATGTAAATCTGGTTCATGTTTATGTTTTTATTTATTTAGTGTGAAATATGTATAAAATATAAAAAATTATAATATTACAATTGTTTGACATGGGAAACATGAACTTTTTTTTCTGTCAAACTCAAATAATTTTTGTTAAAATTTTAAATTTTATCTTTTTTCATATTTTATCATTATATGCATTTAAAACTGACAATTTTATTTATATGTATCTCTTGTGTATTTTTTTTGAATTAATGTGATGAATGATCTTAAATTATAATAAAATATTTAATATAATATTTAAATTTTAAAAATTTTTAATATGATATTTAAACAATAAATATATTAATTAATGTAATTATATTTTCAAAGTGATTAGTTGTAAATAACAAAAATAAACAAATTTTTAGCTATCATATTAGTTAACAAATTTATAATTCAAATATAATATTAAAAATTTTTAAAATTCAGTTTTCATATTAAATATTTTATTATAATTTACAGATTATTTATTATATTAATATTTTTTCAGTTTTTAAAATACCAAATTAATTAAAGCCCTAAATTTTTATTTTCTTTTGATTATGAGATTTTCTTCATTGTTGTTACTTTTTTTGTTAATAAAATTTGAATTTGAAAAAAATGGATATAAATTTTGAAATAGGATTAACTAAATTCATGACTTATTTTTTACACTTCAAAAATGCTTTCTATTGCATGTTATGTACCAAAATGCAATGTTTTGAGTAAAAATTCATTTTTACACATGAACGATATAATTTTCTTAATTTCACGAATAAGATTAAAATGCTGCCATATATCTATTTTTCTTTTTTTTTTTTACTATATTCTTAATATTTATTTTCCAGATAATTTTGAGATTAGAATTAGCAAAAGCTCTACTGTTAGATGTGATGATTTCTCTTTGTACAAAGGAAATATAATGTTTTGTATAATGAAAGCTTCTCATCAGTCATCAGGTTTTTGCTTTACCCAATCATGCTGATCTTTATTTCAAAAAGATTCCTGTCCAATATTGAAGATATTGAGGATAACAATTAACGGTTTCTCCATACTTACTAGCTTCTCCGAATCATTTTCTTGCTGCCAAGTTACATGAAAGCTTCAAAATTTTGTTTTCAATTAAATTGCCACTTACAGCTTTAGAATTCTTGGCATAGGTGAAAGCTATGGAGTTAATCACACACTTTGCAGGGACTTTTGGTCATGCAATCTATGCTTATGGCGCATACACACAGGCAGCAGAAATATCAATATTGTGGCAAATGGAATGCCTTCAATTTGAAGAATGAGCCTCTTTGCTGCATCGTTGCATTAAGCTCATTTAATTATTGTTATCAACCCAGATCTTCAAGCAATCAAGCCTATTTTGCAGAAACACCTTTGTTTTGGTTGAGTTTTTGTCCTTTTCCACTTGATTCCTCCAATCAGTCCCGGTACATATTTTTATTTGATTCTTTATATCTTTTGCAATCTGAAATACAGCTCTTCTATTGCGCAAAAAAGTGGACTGAATAGTATGTTAGTACTCTGGTACATGCTTGTTAATTTACAGCTTAATCAATCCATTAACCACAAAAGTAATCTATATGTTCAAAATGTAAAATTCAGTCCCATCAAACCAACTGACTTCTAATAATTTTGGTTCTAAACATTAAAAGGTTTCAACATAGATGATTTGCAGCTTGTATCATATTAAGACGCTACTATCAGACGAAAGAAAATACAAATTCATAGCTACTTATTCATGTTTGAACAAGGAAAACTTCTACATATATCAGAGCAGGCATTGTCCCCATTTGTTAACCATTCCAAGATAGGTTTCTCTTGCTTACGATGTGATGTCCAAGCCACACAATAGGTCCGTTATGCCTGCACATGAAGTTCATGCCATGTGATACGTTCATTGTCTCTGCATGTGAGGAGAGCAGTAAAATGGAGAAAAAGTAAAATCTCATATCAGTTAAATTAGGGACATCTGGGCAGATAAATATAACAGGGGTCATTAAAGTAACTTGCCTCAAATATCTTTGTCATTGTGTCTACTGGTAAGCAAACAACAATGTGGTGAAACAAGGCTTTCAATATAGACAGCAGGCTGAAACCAAACCCATTCATTGCGTGGAGTAAAAGTTTTTGATGTCTTTTCCTTCGGATCATACCACACTAATTTCCTCCCATCATAATCTATTACAACTTTACCAGTTTTTGTATAGCATAGCGCATTCCCCCAGTATTCAAGTCCCTGCAAAGTTTCTCTCTGAACACTGAACAACCTAGTCCATGAGGACTTGACGCCATATTCCTTCAACAGCCATGCCTCCAAAACAGTGCCATAACCGCACCCATCGAACAGACACAAGCAATCTCCTGAAATCCCCAAAACCAGCAAATCATGTCTGCTCTCTTTGATATTATCTGGTATTGGCACCACTACATAGAATTTCTCTTCTACCATGTGAAATGCAACAATTACATAAAATTTTTTTGGACCAGTTTGTCTTGATGCTAACCAATGCAATGCTCCATGGAGAAAAATCCCTTCTCCTTCTATTTCTATGCCAGATTTGAGACCCTGAATCCTTCGCCAGAAGTTAGTTTTCAATTCCAGGACTTCGACTTCAGTTTCATTAGAAGCAACAGCAGGGGAAGGGCGAGCAACTCTGACTACTTTGTAATCATCAGTTGAGCAATTATAGCCAAGACCGTAAGAGAACGTACCCTTTGGATCAAAAGGACCGAGCTTTGTCAATTCCAAGGCTTCTCTAATTGTTGGATTCCACAAGAAGATGCGTTCATCATTAAAGACTACACATATCAAGCCATCACAAGACCCTCCTAAATCAAGCCAAGCATTCACCAATTCAACAGAGTCAGGAGTCTTCTTCATTGCTGCTGGATACTTAAGCTCAAATATTAGTTTGCTTGCATCATCAAGATCATCATCAGAAGCTTCACAGGCTGCTGATTCAAGAGGCTCAGAGATGAGAAGTACCCTCTGGCTGATGCTGTTCTTCTTTGACTGTGCAAGGTGTAGTTTGGCAAACTGAGGATCAGAGATCAAAGACAACCATGGCTTGGATACACACTTGAGTTGTATCAGATATTTGACAGGCAGCCTGGACAGTATGTTGACAATAATGTCTTCAGGGAGCTGAGGGAGTGTTTCCATGGCTTCACTTCAGATTCATTCTTGTGTCTGCCGTTGCACTTTTGACAGCCTCTAACTTAATTAGCTAAACCCACATTGTCTTCATCATCAAGAAGCTTACATTGCACACTATACCAAGAATCTGAAATTTTGGACATTGTTGAAAGAGTCATCAGCTCTAAAACCAAAATAGTGAATGGAGAAATTTCCCAGTCAGAATAACTTTGGCTACATACATATTTTTTAATTCAATGTCAGCAACTCCACTTTCAAGTAGTCATTGAAAATGGGAAACTAATTGAACCAGTCAAAGCTATTAAATAATCTAACTGCACTGTGAAACATCACACAATTTCAATTTATTATTTATTAATCCAGAGGTGGGAGGAAAATAGAGATTTGTAAAGAGGAAGCCATATGTATAGTCCACTCTTTTCCAATTTAGATTTGTTTCACTATCTTCTGAAAAGTAATTGACAAGAATACTATACTTGTCCAACATGTGGCAATTCACAAGACCATTTTTTGTTAAATTTTCTTGTTGCTGTCATCAATAAGGTACTTCTATTTCTCCTTTTTCTGGAAATATCAAATAGGAAGTTGATGTCTTCAAATAGAAGATATTGCAGAACCCAAAGTTTAGTTCAATTAGTTTATGCAATCATCTTTAAAATATGATATCTAGCTAATTTGAAATTCAAATCTCAGCACTTACAACCTTTCCTCTATCCTTAAGCTATGACTGTCTTTTAAAAATAAAAATAAAAGAAATTGCAATAATCTTCTACTTTAATCAAAAAATGAAGCTATCAAAATGCATACAAAACAAAATCCATACTTTTTTTGGCACATGGTGTTATTTGTATGCTAATGGTTATAACAACTTAAACTTGACCAAACAGTGACTTCCCCATGTATCAAAAAAATTACATTATTGTTTCAAAAAATGAAGAATGATATGAATGCTAAGATTGTTTATCAGTGATGCAAATAAACTGAAATTATTGCTTTGTTACTAACTCTAACTCTTGAACTGGTTGCTAGATGGAACCTGCAAACCATCAATTGGAGAATCCATCCGATATTGCTATAATTTGTTGATAATTGTGGGAAAATACTTATTTACAGCTGGTTGTAATCTTGTAATCTGTATATTTATATTTGTATTTCTAAAATTAAATATTTGTATCCCTAAAATTAAGGACAAAAAATTAGAATAGACAATCCCTCAATTATAGGATTAGTTTTTTAGGAAGATTTAGTTTTCTAGTTTAACGCCTAGTTAGTTGTATATAAACCTAAGATTCTTGTATAATTCTAAATGAGCAATTTTTCAATATACATTCAGTTTTCACACTGATTTATTTCTTAGTTTCTCCACGTGGTATTAGAGCTTTAGACTCTTCTTGGGAAGCAAAATTTTTAGCCTTCATTACTGACTTCTATTTTAGCCCTTCATTGCCGAATCCTATTTAGGCCTTTATTGCCGAACCCTTTCAAAGAAAGATATCATTGCCACCCAATTTGAGGAAATGTCAATTGAAAAAATCACTGGAGTACTACAGATGTCTCAGAAACAAGGAGAATTCGACAGGGAAGATATTGAAAAGCTGAGAAACTTATTGAAAATCATTGAAAAGCCTACTGTGGTATGTTCTTTGGGTAAAGTTTCTAGTTCAGGTAAAGCTTCTGGTTCTCACGGATTAAATGTCTCGGCTAAACCTATTACGAGTTCTTGGGTCATTGACTCATGAGCCACAGACTATATGACACATTCCTCACAAAAGTTTAGTACATATAACGTGTGTCCTAGTAATAAGAAAATTGTTGTTGCAGATGGTTTACTTACTACAGTGGCAGGATTAGGAGATGTTCAAGTTAATCCCTCATTTGTTCTCAAAAATGTTCTTCATGTTCCTTGATTGTTGACTAATATGATATCCATACAAAAATTTACCAGAGATATGAATTGCAAAGTAATTTTTTATCCCTCTTATTGTGAATTTTAGGATCAGAGTTTGGGGAAGATGATTGGACTTGCTAAGGAGAAGGATGGACTATACTATCTTGAGACATCAAATAACACAAGTAATATCAAGAATAGTTTACCTTTGTCATTTCTTTCTGAAAAATCTTTCAATAAAGACAACTCTGGCTTTATCATTTTCGTCTTGGACATCCATCTTTTGGAACTTTGAGAAACATGTTTCCTTCTTTGTTCAAAGGATTAAATGTTGAAGATTTTCATTGTGATGTTTGCGAACTTGCAAAGCATAGACGTGTGTCTTTTTCAATCAGCAATAAAAGAAGTTCTACTCCCTTTTACTTGATTCATAGTGACATTTGGGGTCCCTTTACAATTCCTAATATTTCTAGTGCGAGATGGTTTGTTTCATTCATAAATAATTGTACCAGGGTCTCTTGAATTTTTTTTACTTAAATCTAAATCAGATGTGAATAGTACGTTTTTAAGCTTCCAAAACATGATCCAAAATCAATTTGGAGTGAGAATCAAGAGATTTAGATCTGATAATGCAAGAGACTACTTCAACCAGAGTCTATCCATCTATTTCCAAAAAGAAGAAATTATCCATGAGTCATCTTGTGTTAATACTCCACAGAAAAATGGAGTGGTAGAGAGGAAAAATAACCATTTACTAGCCACAACCCGAGCCTTTCTTTTTCAAGCAAATGTACCTAAATCTTACTAGAGGAAAGCTGTTCTCACTGCCACACACATTATAAATAGGTTACCTTCAAGGGTTTTGGGATTTAAAACTCTTATGAAACTACACTCACAATTTTATCCCAACCTCAATACCGCAAACAATCTCACACCTAGGATATTTGGTTGTACATCATTTGTTCATGTTCACAGTCATAACAAGAGAAAGTTGGATCTAAGAGCGATTAAATGTATTTTTGTGGGGTATTCTTCAACTCAAAAAGGATATAAGTGCTATCATCCTCTTACTAAAAAATTTTATGTGTCTGCAGATATCACTTTTGAAGAAAGTAAACCATTTTTTACTCAACCTTATCTTCAAGGGGAGACTTCATTCATGGAAGATAAGGATAAAGACTTCTTTTTGCTTGATTTGTTCCCCTTCTTCAATATTTACACCCATTAATTCTTTTAAGTCGAAACCTATTTCTGCTGAACCCAAGTCAAACACTGAATTTGAGTCTGAACCATTCCAAATACAAAAGTTGTGACAAAGGATAATATTGTTCTTGATTCTATGAAAGAATTACAGGTGTACTCAAGAAGAAAAGTTTAAGATCCTAAACCAATGCCAGTCCAAGAACCTGATTCTAACTCTGAAAATGAGGTAACTACAATTTTTTACTCTATTTCTCAAAATGAGCATGAATCTCCTAAAACTATAACTAGTGATTATGATCTGCCTATTGCCATTAGGAAAGAAACCAGAAAATGTACTAAGCATCCACTATACCCAATCTCTAATTTTATGTCATTTGAAAAATTATCACCATCTCACAAAAATTTTCTTGTGAGCCTAAACACTATTTCAGTTTCAACTACATTATCCAAGGCATTATCCAGTGAGAAATGGAGGCAAGCCATGAAAATAGAAATGGAGGCCTTAGAGAAAAATCAGACATGGAAACTAGTAAAATTGCCTAAAGAAAAAATTTCAGTGGGGTGTAAATGGGTTTTCACTGTAAAATACAAGGCAAATGGTACTGTTGAAAGGTATAAAGCCAGGTTAGTGGCTAAGGGCTACACCCAAACCTATGGAGTGGATTATCAGGAAACCTTTGCTCCAGTTGCCAAGATGAATATAGTTAAGATTTTGTTATCATTGACTGCAAATTACAATTGACAGCTTCAATAATTTGAGGTAAAGAATGTTTTTCTACATGGTGATTTGAAAGAAGAAATATATATGAAGGCTTGAAACGTGCAAAACCGATCGATCCCTTTCAAAATCGATCAATTGGTTCCATGCAAAGAACCATAACCAATCGATCCCCTACTTCAACCGATCGATCGCATCATGCCTTTTGGCGTGATAAAGTTGGGTCTCCTTCATTTGACCAATCATTTCAGCTTTCCTCTCTTGTTCATATTCTTCCCAAACTCATCATCTCCAAACCCTAAACACTCCCACTCATTTCTCACCCAAAATTGATCCTTCTTACCAATATCTCTTGCAAATTTCTTCACTCCCACTTGATCTCTTGCCGAAATTACTATAAAACCCTCAAAATGGCCTCAAAAATCAAAGTCACTATCGAAAGAAGAAATCCTCCAAGGGAGGCTTCAAGCTCAACAATGAAGCCATCCTTCAATCAGAATTTCAACAATCCAGATGCCAAGGACCGGTGTGAGACACATTTTGCGCATCGAGAAGTAAAGCATGCCAAGGGAATTTCCCTAGATTTCTTCCAATCAATAGATTTTCCCTACCTATAGGTTTTTGAGGAATTTAGTTGGCTACATTATTTGTGCATGAAAGGTATATTATTTGAGAATTTAGTAAGAGTTTTCTATAGTAATACTAGCCGTGTCCAGATTGAAGGATCAAATAGGCATTGCCTTGATAGATTTAGAACTTATGTGATGGAGAGAGAAATACTAGTTACCAAACAAGTACTAGCTAAAGCTTTTAAGTTAAATAATGAGGGGGAAACAAACACTAGATGTGACGCGATGCAACTTGCTCAAGACATCTTTAGCGATCACAATCTACAAGTTGCTCCCACTCAAGCCTCTAGGTTATCCATGCATGATAGGTTGTTACATCTCATTCTTACTCATGTTCTAGCACCTTTTGGGACACAATACTCCACCATTAGGAAACAAGATTATTGGTGGATGTATAAGATTAAGAATAGACAGAAACCAAATTTGGTGCACTTCATTTTTCATGATATGATGAAGATAGTTCAAAATAAAGATTCTGCTTTGGTATATGGGCATGCAATAAGTAACCTTTTGAGGAATTTGGAGGTGAATACCAGAGGAGACAAGCAGATGGTATTCAATGACCCATTTAGTGTTCTAGGGGCTCCTACACTGCATAGCATGGGTTATGTTCAGAATGCAGCTGTTACTCATGTTCTAGTACCTTTTGGGACACAATACTCCATCATTAGGAAGCAAGATTATTGGTGGATGTATAAGATTAAGAATAGACAGAAACCAAATTTGGTGCACTTCATTTTTCATGATATGATGAAGATAGTTCAAAATAAAGATTCTACTTTGGTATATGGGTATGCAATAAGTAACCTTTTGAGGCATTTGGAGGTGAATACCAGAGGAGACAAGCAGATGGTATTCAATGACCCATATAGTGTTCTAGGGGCTCCTACACTGCATAGCATGGGTTATGTTCAGAATGCAGCTGGACTATGGGTTAAAAAAGGTGATATTGGAGCTGCACAAGAGAAGGAGGAAGAGCGAGAACCTTTGGATATGCCTGAACCTCAAGATGAACCCTCTACCTCACCCTTCAACACTCAAGGACTCTTAGAGATGCTCTTGCTTCAGATGAACAGCTTGCACTCGATGGTTGACAGTATGAACACTAGATTGAAAACTATGGAGGGAACGTAGAATGAATTGGTAGCATAAGTTCGTCACCTTCGCGCTGACATTGAGTAAATGCACTCTACACCTTCGCACATGGGGCAACCTTCTTCTCACTCTCCTCATCCTAGATGTGACGCGATGCAACTTGCTCAAGACATCTTTAGCGATCACAATCTACAAGTTGCTCCCACTCAAGCCTCTAGGTTATCCATGCATGATAGGTTGTTACACCTCATTCTTACTCATGTTCTAGCAACTTTTGGGACACAATACTCCACCATTAGGAAGCAAGATTATTGATGGATGTATAAGATTAAGAATAGACAGAAACCAAATTTGGTGCACTTCATTTTTCATGATACGATGAAGATAGTCAGAATAAAGATTCTACTTTGGTATATGGGTATGCAATAAGTAACCTTTTGAGGCATTTGGAGGTGAATACCAGAGGAGACAAGCAGATGGCATTCAATGACCCATTTAGTGTTCTAGGGGCTCCTACACTGCATAGCATGGGTTATGTTCAGAATGCAACTGGACTATGGGTTAAAAAAGGTGATGTTGGAGCTGCACAAGAGAATGAGGAAGAGTAAGAACCTTTGGATATGCCTGAACCTCAAGATGAACCCTCTACCTCACCCTTCAACACTCAAGGACTCTTAGAGATGCTCTTGCTTCAGATGAACAGCTTGCACTCGATGGTTGACAGTATGAACACTAGATTGAAAACTATGGAGGGAACGCAGAATGAATTGGTAGCATAAGTTCGCCACCTTCGCGCTGACATTGAATAAATGCGCTCTACACCTTCGCACATGGGGCAGCCTTCTTCTCACTCTCTGCATCCTCATCAGTCTCCCTATTCTCCACCTCCACCTCAATGAGCTCTATTAGTGCCATTACTTATGTTTTTCCACATCTTTGTATCTTGTAAATATATCTTTGAAACCTTTGCATTATGGTTTGTAACCTTTGGTACTCAATATATATTTATGCAATTTCTATTTCATTCTCATATTACTTGTGGTATTGTGGCATTTGATGTGTTATTTGATGATTGATATGCACTTAAGTGGCCTTGAATTGATTGTTCTCTCATTTGGCTTTATTTCATCCTTTTTGCTATGACAAAAAAGGGTAGAAATATTGGTATAAAAAATTGCTTTGATGATCCTAATGGTTTTGGTGATATTGGTTTTGCCTAGTTGCCTTAAAATTTATGCTTAAATTCAGGGGCAGTTTAACTTTCATAACTTCAGGGGAGCTTGTTTTTCAAAAGGAAAAATGTTTTTCATGCAAATTTTTCATTTGGTTTTGTCATATCAAAAAAGGGGAGATTGTTGGTTTGAATTGATCAAGAGTTTTGATTTGACAAAACAAAAACTCTTGATCAATTCAAGGCCAACACTAGCAATTCATAAAAGGTAAGACTTTCCACCCCAACTGTCTCTTTTCTTTTATCTTTCCCTTTTTCACCCTCCCCTTCTCCCCCGTAATAACAAGATACACAAAACTGCAATAATTAATCTTTTTCACAAAGTGGTTCAATTTAAATCATAGAAGTCAATGAAATATATAAAAAAATAATAATAATAGAACAGACCCAACATATAATAAAGCCTGAAAAACACAAACAAGAGAAAAAAAATTTTATGTTTTGGCTCAAAATTGAATCTTTCTTCCACACGGTGAGAGTGTACCAAAGCCTATTGCAAAAGAAATAAATAATAATAAATAAATACAATTTAACACCAAAAAAAAATGCTAAAAAGAAAGGGGAAGAAAAGGCAGGTACCTGAAAAGAAAACTGCAAATAAAACCCTGAAATATAGTTAAATTCACTCAGCCATTGCCAATATGGGGTTTCCAAGAATTAGCTGCAATTGCTCCAGTTTACGACTCACAGGGTCACTGTAAAAACAGGCGATAAAATCAATTCACAACAAAAAAAAAAAAAAGAAAAGAATTTTGAAGATGAAAATAAAACTGGGTATAAGGAAATTGCTTACCTGGGAAAAAAATCTGTTTATGATTCTTAAAAATTGCCAAACTGGAAATTGGTGAAATCGTCTTTTAGTGAAATAAAAAAAAAAAAGGTCAATGGAAAAGACTCTTTTTTGTATTAATGGACCCAGCCCATGAAATGAAAACTGACTCTTTCGACCCAATAGCCCTATCAATTCCAACTCCAGTAATTAATTTTAAATTTGACATAAAATATATTTTATACAAATATATAAAAATAAAAGTTTTTGAGAAAAAAAAGAAAATATCTAATGTGAATAACTTTTATCAATCACCGTGTGTCTTGTACTAATTATGTTTATTCTTTTTTTTTAATTGATATGAATTGATTTCATTTCATAAAAATTTTAAAATATTTTAATGCATTAATTATATTTATTTTCTTTTAAATTTTTAATTAACTTATCTTTTATTTCTAATAAAATATTTTAAATTATAAATCAAAATTAAATCAATGAGACATTATAATCAAATATTTTCTTAATTATTTATAAAACTTCTATTGAAATCTAATAAAAAATATTATAAAAAAATTTAATAACCACTATAATTACGGTAAAAAATGAATTCTTTAATTAATTATTTGATACATCCATATTTAATTAAATATGATATTCAATTAAGTAATAAATGTTATTCATGTATAAATATACATAAAAGTAATATAATGATTTTATATATTTATAAAAAATTAATGACACATTATAATGTTATACTTTTGTTTTTGTTATAAAATCAATCCTATAAAATGTTATATTTTATATATATGAAATGTCATCAATAAGTCGTGCATTCCAACTTATTTAAATATATGAAAATCAAAATTTTTGATAAAAAAGGAAAAAATTCAATGTGAATAATCTATTTTTTTTTACATGTAGATTATTTTAAACAATTGCCACTTGACTTCATATACATTTTATTAATTTAAAAGATAATTTCACTCAATTAAATTTTTTTTTTATAAATATCCAATATTCTTCTTTTTTTTTTATATAGATGTGTTACAATTAAATTATCTTAAATTATTTTCAACCAAATTTAATTCTTAATTTTAAACATCAAATTTTTATATTATAAATAAGAACTATGTTTTGAAAGCATTGATTATTTAATGACCGTGATTTTAGTATTTAATTAAGAATTAATTTCTGTATTTATTAACCTAAATGAATATATAAGGTATATAATACTAAAAATACAAACCTAAAATAAAAATCTAATTAGTTGGAAACATCTTTTCATATTTTTCTTTATATAAGAATTAATTACAATTGGTACAATTTATTGTCTTACAACAATTTTTCAACATATTAAGTGTAGATTTTTCAAAATAAAAAATATACTACATAAATAATTAATAATTCATTATAACATTTTGCAAAAATTACTCTCAATTTATAAAAATTTCTCAAATTCGTCTTATAAATAGAGAATCCCGTATGCTAAGAGTATTAAGAGATTACTCTTCAAAAGCCACCAAATGTATTGATTTCAATATGATTAAGAAAATTTTATTTACCAAATTATGTCTTTTTTTATTTTTCATAAAATTTTTTTCTTTGTCATGTTTGTCGATTGATTTTATTTTTGTTTTTATTCATTTTTTAATACTTGTTCATACTTCATTTATTCATTCATTTTCAATATTATTATTATTTTTTTACATTTGAATGGAATAATTTTATATATTTGATCTCCTTTTAGTTTTTTGTCTTTGGACGTCTTGTTAGATTTTTCTTCATGACAACTAATGAAGATGAATAAGGTGAAATTTTTTTAGTTACGTTTGAAATTTGCTAGAGTTTGGCATAAGTTTTTGTTCTCTTTTCTTTCACTTACAATTTTATCCATATTTAATAAGTAATATATGGTTTGAATCATATTCACTAAAAAATGCAATTTTAATTTAAACTATTTTGACCTTTGTGAATATAATATAAGGACACCACCTAATCCAAGGGTTTCTTGTCGTCATTGCGAGTTATAAATGTCTTACACTAAAGGACACCAAGCAAAATTTTTTACAAAAAATTGATTTTAAGTAAAATAATTTTCTATCATTTGGAAGCAAACATTATTTAATTTTATATAAATATCATTATTAAAAGAGATATGATGCAAAACATTTTTTTTATATTATATAGGTATATATTGATTTATAATATTTTTATTTTTTCATTATTTTGCATTTAAATTTTTTATTTTTATATAAAATTTATTAGTTATATTATATATAATTGAATTTTTTATATATAATTGCATATCCGTGCATCATATGGGCTTAAAATTAATTTATATGTAGATTTGGTTTGTATATTTGTTTTTATTTATTTCATGTTAAATATATATAAAACATAAAAATTATTATGTTATAATTGTGTGACATATCAAACACGAAACTCTTTTTTTTTGGTCAAACACATACGATTTTTATTAAATTTCTAAACCTTATATTTTTTCTTATCATGTTACTATACATATTTAATGTTGATAGGTTTATTCCATGTGTATTTTTTGGATTAATATTATGAATGACCTTTAAATTATGGTAACATATCAAATATAATATTTAAATTTTAAAAAATTTTAATATAGTATCTAAACTATGAATCTATTAATTAATATGGTATTTACTCATAAAATGAGTAATTTCAAATAATAACATATAACGAATAAACAACTCTCTAACTATCACATTAATTAATAAATTTATAATTTAAATATGACATTAGAGATTTTTTAAAATTCAGTTATCACATTAAATATTTTATTATAATTTAATAATCATTTATTTTTTAATTTTTGTTTCAAGATTAATTAAAACCCTAATTCTTATTTTCTTTTGATTATGACTTTTTCTTCATTGATGTTTTAATAAAATTTGAATTTGACAAAATGAATATAAATTTTGAAATAGGATTAAAAGAATATATATATATGCCTTTTATGATTATACCTAAATTCATGACTTATTTTTTACACTTCAAAAATGCTTTTTATTGCGCATTATGTATCAAAATGTAATATTTTGTATAAAAATTCATTTTTATACATGAATAGTATAATTTTTTTAATTTCACAAATGAGATTAAAATGACATCACATCTCTTTTTTTAATTTTATATATATTTACTATATTCTTAATATGCAATTCTATGATAATTCTGAGAGTTAAGTTAGCAAAAACTTCATTATTAGATGTGATGATTTCTCTTTGTACAATGGAAATATAACGTTTTGTATAATGTAAGCTCCTTATCAGTCATCAGATTTTGCTTTACCATGTCGTATTGATCTTTATTTCAAAAAGATTCCCGTCCAATATTGAAGATTTTGAGGATAATTAACAGTTTCTCCATACTTACTAGCTTCTCCCAATCTTTTTCTTGCTGCCAAGTTACATGAAGGCTTCACAAATTTGTTTTCAATGAAACTGCCATTTACAGCTTTAGAATCCTTGGCGAAAGTGAAAGCTATAGAGTAATCATACACTTTGCAGGGACTTTTGATCATACAGTTCATGCTTATGGCATAGACACTGGCCGCAGAAATATCAATATTGTGGCAAATGGAATGCCTTCAATTTGAAGAATGAGCTTCTTTGCTGCATCGCTGCAATAAGCTCATTTAATTATTCATGTCAACACAGATCTTCAAGCAATCAAAGCCTATTTTGCAGAAACACGTGTTGGTTGAGTTTGTCTTTTTTTCATTTGATTCCTCCAATCAGTCTGAGTACAAGCTTGTTAATTTACAGCGTAATCAATCCATTGACCACAAAAGTAATCTATATGTTCAAAATGTAAAATTCAGTTCCATCAAGCCAACTGACTTCTAATAATTTTGGTTCTAAACATCAAAAGAAGGTTTCAACATGGATAATTTGCAGCTCTGATCAAATTAAGACGCTACTATAGATGAAAGAGAATTCAAATTCATTGCCACTTATTCATGTTTGAACAAGGAAAACTTCTACATATATCAGAGCAGACATTGCCCCCATTCGTTAACCTTTCCGTGATAGGTTACTCTTGCTTACGATGTGATGTTCAAGCCACACAATAGGTCCGCTATGCCTGCACATGAAGTTCATGCCACGTGATACGTTTTTTATCTCTACATGTTAGGAGAGTATTAAAATGGATAAAAAGTAAAATCTCACATCAGTCAAATTAGGAACATCTTGGTAGATAAATATAACAAGGGTCATCAATGTAACTTGCCTCAAATATCTTTGTCATTGTGTCTATTGGTAAGCATAACAACAATGTGGTGAAACAAGGCTTTCAATATAGACAGCAGGCTGAAACCAACACCATTCATTGGAGTAAAAGTTTTTTATGTCTTTTCCTTCGGATAATACCACACTAATTCCCTACCATCATAATCTATTACAACTTTACCAGTTTATGTATAGCATAGCGCATTCTCCCAGTATTTATGTCCGTGCAAGGTTTCTCTACGAACACAGAACAACCTAGTCCATGAGGACTTGACGCCATATTCCTTCAACAGCCATGCCTCCAAAACAGTTTCATAACCGCACCCATTGAACAGACATAAGCAATCTCCTGAAATCCCCAAAACCAGCAAATCATGTTTGCTCTCTTTGATATTATCTGGTATTGGCACCAGTTCATAGACTTTCTCTTCTACCATGTGAAATGCAACAATTACGTAAAATTTTTTTGGACCAGTTTGTCTTGATGCTAACCAATGCAATGCTCCATGGAGAAAAATTCCTTCTCCTTCTATTTCTATGCCAGATTGGAGACCCTGAATCCTTCGCCAGATGTTAGTTTTCAATTCCAGAACTTCAACTTCAGTTTCATTAGAAGCAATAGCGGTGGAAGGACAAGCAGCTCTAACTACTTTGTAATCATCAGTTGAGGAATTATAGCCAAGACCGTAAGAAGACGTACCCATTGGATCAAAAGGACGGAATTTTGCCAATTCCAAGGCTTCTCTAATTGTTGGATTCCACAAGAAGATGCGTTCATCATTAAAGACTACACATATCAAGCCATCACAAGCCCCTCCTAAATGAAGCCGACCATCCACCAATTCATCAGAGTCAGGAGTCTTCTTCATTGCTGCTGGATACTTAAGCTCAAATATTAGTTTGCTTTCATCATCAAGATCATCACCAGAAGCTTCACAGGCTGCTGATTCAAGACGAGAAGTACCCTCTGGCTGATGCTGTTCTTCTTTGACTGTGCAAGGTGTAGTTTGGCAAACTGAGGATTAGAGATCAAAGACAACCATGGCTTGGATACACACTTGAGTTGTATCAGATATTTGACAGGCAGCCTGGACAGTATGTTGACAATAATGTCTTCAGGGAGCTGAGGGAGTGTTTCCATGGCTTCACTTCAGATTAATTCTTGTGTCTGCCGTTGCACTTTTGACAGCCTCTAACTTAATTAGCTAAACCCACATTGTCTTCATCATCAAGAAGCTTACATTGTACACTATACCAAGAATCTGAAATTTTGGACATTGTTGAAAGAGTCATCAGCTCTAAAACCAAAATAGTGAATGGAGAAATTTCCCAGTCAGAATAACTTTGGCTACATACATATTTTTTAATTCAATGTCAGCAACTCCACTTTCAAGTAGTCATTGAAAATGGGAAACTAATTGAACCAGTCAAAGCTATTAAATAATCTAATTGCACTGTGAAACATCACACAATTTCAATTTATTATTTATTAATCCAGAGGTGGGAGGAAAATAGAGATTTGTAAAGAGGAAGCCATATGTATAGTCCACTCTTTTCCAATTTAGATTTGTTTTACTATCTTCTGAAAAGTAATTGACAAGAATACTATACTTGTCCAACATCTGGCAATTCACAAGACCATTTTTTATTCAATTTTCTTGCTGCTATCATCAATAATAAATAAAATTAACTTGGTAATTCTATTTCTCCTTTTTCTGGAAATATCAAATAGGAAGTTGATGTCTTCAAATAGAAGATACTGCAGAACCCAAAGTTTAGTTCAATTAGTTTATGCAATCATCTTTAAAGTATGACATCTAGCTGATTTGAAACTCAAATCTCAGTACTTACTACCCTTTTTTCTATCCTTAAGCTATGACTGTCTTTTTTTTAAAAAAAAAAAAAAAGAAGAAATTGCAATAATCTTCTACTTTAATCAAGAAATGAAGCTATCAAAACGCATACAAAACAAAATCCATACTTTTTTTGCAAAAAGTGTTATTTGTATACTAATGGTTATAACAACTTAAACTTGACCTGACAGTGACTTTCCCATGTATCAAAAAAAATATACATTATTGTTTCAAAAAATGAAGAATGATATGAATGCTAAGATTGTATATCAGTGATGCTACTAAACTGAAATTATTGCCTTCTTGCTAACTCTAACTCTTGAACTGATTGCTAGATGGAACCTGCAAACCATCAATTGGAGAATCCATCTGATATTGCTATAATTTGTTGATAATTGATATAAAAATTATGCTTTTATAAACAATTATGATAAATTTTTTTTACAAGTAATATTATACGACACAATAAAAATAATCATCTCTCATCAACCTATAATTCAAATTCAAAACCTTCAAGATGGAGCTTTAATAGACAGGTTCATGAAAACATGGTAGTAATGGTCATTTGAAGCAATCATGTAGTAGCAATGATTTGGCCACACTTTGCAATGCAAGTAGTTGAAGACCAGAGTGGCAGTAGAAATCTAATTTCTTGCAAAAAAACCTCCTCTAACTCCATGTATGCAAATGTGCTTGTATGCGATCTTTGAAGTGTTCTAACATTTTCTGGAAACAATTCACTGTAACAGAGAAAAGAGAGGCTCTTCCGCAGATTCTATGCGGTATACGAGCAAATGGTTGAATGTACTCAGTTCCAAATAAACATAATTTTGTATAAAATGTAGAAACTTTGATGAGCAAGACAGCAACCATGATCGGATTAAGCATAAGGGAACAAAAGATGGTGTTACAACTATAGTTGTCTTAGGTTTTTGTACAGAACCAAACCACTGACATTTTTCGCTCAACAGCTACAAACTATTCTAAGGAGGATAAATGTGCAATGCACAAACAACAAATTTACTGCCCTCATTTGAGAGCATTGAAAGGGCAAAAGATAAATCACAGAGAAAGCAATCAAAATTCGAACTAGGAGAAACTATTTTTTTCTCCTTACCTTCGTTTGACTCCAAAACACATATCTACACATACAGGCATATAGTTCACATAAAACTCAAGCTATGTATACTTATGTTGTATGCAATATTCACTTGAGAGTGCATGTGTATTTTTTTTTCCCTTCTATAAGTCAACAGAGCTTACCTAGGACAGCCTTAATATTTGAGCATAGATACTCCAATCAAATATGTCAATCAACGACCTTTTCGAGTAAACATTCAAGTCTCAAGTTGCAAGAAGAGCCTCATATATATCAATTTATTTTGGAAACACGTGAACCTCATCCAATTAGATACTTGAAAACAATGAAATACCCGAAAAACTTGCTCCATTAAATTGTTGGAAAATTCAAAATGCACAATTAAACAAATTATGATTACAAAATAGCACTCCATAAAAGGTAAGACTTTCCACCCCAACTGTCTCTTTTCTTTGATCTTTCCCTTTTTCACCCTCCCCTTCTCCCCCATAATAACAAGATACAAAAAACTGCAATAATTAATCTTTTTCACAAAGTGGTTCAATTCAAATCATATAAGTAAATGAAATATATATAAAAAAATAGAACAGACCCAACATATAATCAAGCCTGAAAAACACAAACAAGAAAAAAAATTTATGTTTTGGCTCAAAAATGAATCTTTCTTCTACACAGTGAGAGTGTACCAAAGCCCATTGCAAAAGAAATAAATAAAAATAAATAAAATACAATTTAATACAAAAAAATGCTAAAAAGAAAGGGGAAGAAAAACCAGGTACCTGAAAAGAAAACTGCAAATAAAACCCTGAAAAAATAGTTAAATTCACTCTGCCATTGCCAATATGGGTTTTCCAAGGATTAGCTTCAATTGCTCCAGTTTACGACTTACAGGGTCTCTGTAAAAACAGGCGATAAAATCAATTTACAACAAAAAAAAAAAGAAATTAACTTTCAAAATAAAGCAGGGTACACGGAAATTTCTTACCTGGGAAAAAATATCCGTTTATGATTATTAAAAATTGCCAAATTGGGAATTGGTGAAATTGTGTTTTAGTGCAAAAAAAAAAAGTCAATGGAAAAGCCCCATTTTTGTGTTAATAGACCCAGCCCATGAAAGGAAAACTGGCTCTTTCGACCCTATAGGCCTATCAGGTCCAATTCAGGTAATTAATTTTAAATTTGATATAAAATATATCTATATGTACATTTAGTTCGTGTATATGTTTTTGTTTATTTTGTGTTAAATATATGAAAAACATAAAAATTATTATATTATAATTGTTTGATATATCAAACATAATTTTTTTTGTTTGCTAAATTTATATATGATTTTTGTTGAATTTTTAAATCTTACATTTTTTCATATCATATCATTATACGTATTTAATGTTGATAAATTTATTTATATATATCCCATGTGTATTTTTTTAGGATTAATGTGACGAATTATCTCTAAATTATAGTAAAATATTTAGCGTAATATTTGAATTTTAAAAATATCTAGTGTGATATATGAATTATAAACATATTAACTAATGTGTTACTTATGCCTAAAATGACTAATTTCAATTAATAAAACATGACGAATAAATAATCTTCAAATTGCTATATTAATTAACGAATCCATAATTCAAATGTGACATTAAAAATTTTTAAAATTTTATTATCACATTAATTAGTTTATTATAGTTTAGAGTTCATTCATGATATTAATATTTTTTATAAGTTTCTGAAGCACAGAATTAATTAAAGACCTAAATTCTTATTTTCTTTTGATTATGACTTTTTCTTCACTGTTGTTATTTTCTTTTTGTTAATAAAATTTAAATTTGAAAAATGGATATAACTTTTGAAATAGGATTAAAAGAATATATATGCCTTTTATGATTGTACCTGAACTCATGACTTAGTTTTTACACTTAAAAAATATTTTTTGTTGTGCATTATGTATCAAAATGTAATGTTTTGGGTAAAACATTGTTTTTATACATGAATGGTATAATTTTTTTAATTTCATAAATAAAATTAAAATGCCGCCATATATCTCTTTTTTTTTTTAAGTTTTAAATTTTTTTTACTATATTCTTAATATGTATTTCTCAGATAATTTTGAGAGTTGAGTTAGCAAAAATTCCACTGTTAAATGTGATGATTTCTTTTTGTACAATATAATGTTTTGTATAATGTAAACTCCTCATCAGTCGTCAGGTTTTTGCTTTACCCTGTCATATTGAAGATTTTGAGGATAATTAACAGTTTCTCCATACTCACTAGCTTCACCCAATCATTTTCTTGCTGCCAAGTTACATAAAAGCTTCACAAATTTGTTTTCAATTAAATTGCCATTTACAGCTTTAGAATCCTTGGCATAGGTGAAAGCTATGGAGTTACCATACACTTTGCAGGGACTTTTGGTCATACAGTTTATGCTTATGGCATACACACTGGCAGCAGAAATATCAATATTGTGGCAAATAGAATGCCTTCAATTTGAAGAATGAGCTTCTTTGCTGTATTGTTGCATTAAGCTCATTTAATTATTGATATCAAACCAGATCTTCAAGCAATCGAGCCTATTTTGCAGAAGCACATATATTTTGGTTGAGTTTGCCATCTTTCCATTTGATTCCTCCAATCAGTCTGAGTAAAAGCTTGTTACTTTACAGCGTAATCAATCCATTGACCACAAAAGTAGTCTACATGATCGAAATGTAAAATTCAGTTCCATCAAGCCAACTGAGTACTATTAGACGAAAGAAAATTCAAATTCATTGCTACTTATTCATGTTTGAACAAGGAAAACTTCTACATATATCAGAGCAGGCATTGTCCCCATTTGTTAACCTTTCCGTGATAGGTTTCTCTTGCTTACTATGTGATGTCGAAGCCACACAATAGGTCCGTTATGCCTGCACATGAAGTTCATGCCACGTGATAAGTTTATTATATCTATGCGAGGTGTATTTAATGGAGAAAAAGTAAAATCTTACATCAGTTAAATTTGAGACATCTGGGCAGATAAATATAACAAGGGTCATTAAAGTAACTTGCCTCAAACATCTATGTCATTGCGTGTATTGGTAGCATAACAACAATGTGGTGAAACAAGGCTTTCAATATAGACAGCAGGCTGAAACCAATCCCAGTCATTGCGTGGAGTAAAAGTTTTTGATGTCTTTTCCTTCGGATCATACCAGACTAATTCCCTCCCATCGTAATCTATTACAACTTTACCGGTTTTTGTATAGCATAGCGCATTCTCCCAGTATTTATGTCCATGCAAGGTTTCTCTATGAACACTGAACAATCTAGTCCATGAGGACTTGACGCCATATTCCTTCAACAGCCATGCATCCAAAACAGTTTCATAACCGCACCCATCGAACAGACATAAGCAATCTCCTGAAATCCCCAAAACCAGCAAATCATGTTTGCTCTCTTTGATAGTCTCTGGTATTGGCACCAGTTCATAGAATTTCTCTTCTACCATGTGAAATGCAACAGTTACGTAACTTTTTTTTGGACCGGTTTGTCTTGATGCTAACCAATGCAATGCTCCATGGAGAAAAATCCCTTGTCCTTCTATTTCTATGCCAGATTGCAGACCCTGAATCCTTCGCCAGATGTTAGTTTTCAATTCCAGAACTTCAACTTCAGATTCATTAGAAGCAACAGCGGTGGAAGGACGAGCAACTCTAACTACTTTGTAATCATCGGTTGAGCAATTATAGCCAAGACCGTAAGAGAACGTACCCTTTGGATCAAAAGGACCGAGCTTTGTCAATTCCAAGGCTTCTCTAATTGTTGGATTCCACAAGAAGATGCGTTCATGCTCAAAGACTACACATATCAAGCCATCACAAGACCCTCCTAAATGAAGCCAACCATCCACCAATTCATCAGAGTCAGGAGTCTTCTTCATTGCTGCTGGATACTCAAGCTCAACTATTAGTTTGCTTTCATCATCAAGATCATCAACAGAAGCTTCACAGGCCGCTGATTCAAGGGGTTCGGTGATGAGAAGTACTCTCTGGCTGATGCTGTTCTTTGACTGTGCAAGGTGTAGTTTGGCAAACTGAGGATCAGAGATCAAAGACAACCATGGCTTGGATACGCACTTGAGTTGTATCAGATATTTGACTGGCAGTCTGGACAGTATGTTGGCAATAATGTCTTCAGGGAGCTGAGGGAGTGTTTCCATGGCTTCACTTCAGATTAATTCTTGTTTCTGCCATTGATCTCTTGATACCCTTTATCTTAAATAGCTAAACCCACATTGTTTTAATTCCCTAGAACTAGAAGCTTACATTGTACACTATACCAATAATCTAGAATTTTGGACATTGTTGAAAGGGTCATCAGCTCTAGGACCAAAATCAGAATAACAATGGGTACATATTTTTTAATTCAATATCAGCAACTCCACTTTGAAGCAGTCATTGAAAATGGGAAACTAATTGAACTGGTCAAAGCTATTGAATAATCTAATTGCACCGTGAAACATCATCCACTTCAATTTATTACTTGTTAATCCAGAGGTGGGAGGAAAATAGAGATTTGTACAGAGGAAGCCACATGTGTAGCCCACTCTTCTCCGATTCGATATTCAAATTTTACCATTTGATTTATCCTTAAACTACGCTATCTTTTGTAAAAATAAAAAATAAAAAAAAATTGCAATAATTTTCTAGTTTCATCAAGAAATGAAGCTATCAAAACGAATACAAAACAAAATCCATAAATTTTTTTTTTTGGCAAATGGTGTTATTTATATACTAATCGTTACAACAACTTAAACTTGACCTAAAAGTTATAATCACTTATACTTCCTCGCGTGTCAAAAATATATATATACATTATTGTTTCCAAAAATGAAGAATGATATGAATGCTAAGATTGTATCTCCATGATGCATCTATCTGAAATTGTTGCCTTGTTGCTCTTGAAGTGATTGCTGGATGGAACCTGCGAACCATCAATTGGAGAATCCATCCCATATTGCTATAATTTGTTGATAATTGATATGAAAATTATGTTTTTATAAGCAATTATGATCATTTATTTTTTTACAAGTAATATTAGACTACGCAATAAAAATAATCATCTCTCCTCAACCTAGGATTCAAATTCAAAACCTTCAAGATGAAGCTTTAATTGACAGGTTCCTGGAAACGTAGTAGTAATGGTAATTTGAAGCAATCATGTAGTAGCAATGATTTGGCCACACTTTGCAATGCAAGTAGTTGAAGACCAAAGTGGCAGTAGAAATCTAATTTCTTGCAAAAAAACCTCCTCTAAGTCCATATATGTAAATGCACTTGTATGTGATTTTTGAAGTGTTCTAACATTTTCTGCAGAATTCAATGTAACAGAGAAAAGAGATGCTCTTCTGCAGATTCTATGCGGTATGCGCAAATGGTTGAATGTACTTAGTTCCAAATAAACAAAATTTTGTATAAAAAGTAGAAACTTTGATGAGCAAGACAGCAACCACGATCAGATTAAGCATAAAGGACTACTTAAAGGGAAACAAAAGATTGTGTTACAACTATAGCTGTCTTAGGAGTTTCGTACAGAACCAATCCACTTACATTTTTCGTTCAACTGCTACAAACTATTCCAAGGAGCATATATGCACAATGCACGAACAACAAATTTACTGCCCTCATTTGATAGCATTGAAAGGGCAAAAGATAAATCTCAAAGAAAGGAATCAAAATTCGACTTAGGAGAAACTTTTTTTTACTCCTTACCTTCGTTTGACTCCAAAACATATACATACACATACAGGCATAGAGTTCACATAAAACTCAAGCTATGTATACTTTTGTTGTTTGTAAATATATTCATTTGAGTGTGCATGTTTGTTTTTTTCCTTCTATAAGTCAATAGAGCTTACCTAGGACACCCTTAATGTCTGAGCATAGATACTCCAATCACGTACCTCAATCAAACAAAATCAGCAGAATGAAAATACCTAAAACTTGATATACTGATAATTTTCAGTTTTCGCTACCACTTTTAAGGATACTAAATTCAGGACAATATTGTTTATTAAGTGATCTATTTTCCCCTATACTCAAGTTATATGCATTATGGATAATCATAAGCAGAAAACCAGAAAAATAAAGAAACTCACATGTGCAGGAATATTTCCACACACACTGACCTATAGTATATGGCATGGATTCCAAATTTCCTCCAGGGAAGACAAATTAAATTTCCTTTTTCCTATAAATATAGGGTTGAATGATGTGCAACTGATTGAAAAAAGTATAAGAGAGAGGAGACAGAGTACCAGTTATCTTTCATTCTCAGATTATCATGTGTTATGATCTCTTTCATTTTTGAGCTCTTTCTAGGAAATATAAGTACTTAAACCATCAATATATATATGTTCATTCTTCAAAACATAAAAAATGTTGACCTTCAAGCCTTAACTAGACTGAGAACACCAACACCATTACATTTTCTTCTACGATTTCAAATCAAATGCAGTGCTCCCTGAGATAACTATATGTTTCCAGAATGCAGTAACATACTATTGTTATTGGCTCAATTTCAGTTTGCCAGTGATATGTCCATAAACTTATGTTAAGACAATCAATTTCAGAAATTCAGACAATAGTAAATCTGAGTCTAATTTGTGAAAGCCATCCCAGCTAGGCGATTAACACAGCAAGAGGCAAAACATAGACAGAAATAAAAGCTCTTCTTTGGTCACACTAAGTGCTGCACACCTTTTACCATGCAAGAAATAGATAAAGTTAGCTAAATTTGAAATGTCTTTACTTTATTTCTGATTTTTCTATAACTGGCTTTACATGCTTCAATCATTACTGCTTTTTCAATCCTGTTTAGCTACAATAACAAGACCAAAATATAATTCCTCTCAGTTGATGGACCTTTAATTGAAAATAGTTCAGTGGTCAGCTGCACAAATTCTGTCTTTTATTCCATTTGGTTCCAGATACCAAACTAATGAAAGAAAATAAAAGAAAATTAGAAAAAAAAATACAATAAAAGAGTAGAAGGCAAGAAAACAAAATAATTCCAATTTAGAATAGGATTTCTTTTATATTTTACAAATATATTTACAACGGGATGCGGTGAAGAAGTCAAAACAGAAAATCTTATATCCCTTATTAACTACATTTTGAACTAAATACAGTACAGTGGTATGCAAGCAAATCTAGCTGAAAGTTCTTGGCAATATGCAATTAACAATTCCTGACCTTTACACTTCTCATTGCAGCAAAGGTTCTTGCACAACCTGCAGTTATTCGCCTGTCCGAGGGGTTGATGTTGCAGACAAGATATCATCCATCGACAATAAATTGGTCATCTTGATTATCTCCGTCAACCCTCACATCTCCATGAACCATACCATTCACATGGTGCAGGTTTTGCATCATTTGTGAAAGATAATGGTTATTGGCATTAGTGTGGTCTGAAAGCGCTGCAGGATAACCAGTCCATTGAGATACAATCCCAAGCAACTGGCTAGTAAGATTTTGTTGCTCGTGAAGAATTCGGGTCTGCATCTGGCCCATTTCTGTTCTGTGCTGATTTAACATTTCATCCATCCTCTTCTTCCATTCTGACCTCCTCCTATTCATCCTCTCCTCCAATTCCGGCTCTTGTATCAACTCCTCTTCTTTTCTTCTTCTTCTTGCTTTCTCTTCACTTTCCTTTTCCACAGCTTCCCACTCATGAATTCTCTGCCTTATCAACTTCTCTCTAGCCTTCTCCCTTTCTTCCATCCCCTTTTCTCTTTCTTCCAATTTCCTTTCCCATTCTTTCTCGAGCTCCAGTCGAACATTCTCCTTTATCTGCCTCTCACGCTCTCTCTCTGCTTCACGTTGCTCGAACCGAGCCTCCAGTTCCTTTAACTGCCCCAACTGGTTCACAAGAAACCCAAATGCCTTTTTTTCCAACCCCTTCATCACTTTCTTTTTCTTCTTCAAATTAGACCCATTTGGCTCCACTTCTTCATGCAACAAGCCATCATCTATTTCCTCCCTTGCATGATCATTACCATTATAATTCCTCTCTCCTTCTTCACCATCATACTCAAATCCCAAACCTAACACTCCATTCTCTCCCCCATCCATTCCCACAAAATCCTCATCCCCAGATTGACCCATTTACCCAAACTCCCCAATCTCCATTTCCCTAACTCAAACAAATCCCCCACCATTTTCCCTTTCCTCATTCGCAACGGCCATTATATCACTACTATTATTACTGTTATTGTTATTGTTACTATTATATGAAACTGCCACGTCGCTGAATACCTCCTTGTACCGCAAAAAATTCGACCAATGTGTAAGCCCTTCAAACCAATCAAAGTCATCATCCCCATTACACTCTCCACCTACCGGATTATCAACCACTGCATCAGGCTTCTTAATCTTTTGCTTAACAAGCAAATACTGGTGCCTCATATTTTGAACCTTAGTGGACACATCCTTCCATGACCATTGCCATGGATATGCAATAGAATGACGAGCTTGATGCACGGAATTCACATAACAAGCAATAGGTTTATATTTCTTTTCCCTGGTTTTCATTTTTGCAAGAGTTCCATCAGCTACCATCTCACCACATTTATCAATTAGGGTTTTTTCTTCAGCCTCAGTCCATTTCTTTCTTGTTGGTATCATCATTTGATAGAATATATATAAAAAGAAACCAACAAAAAACCCAACTTTCTCTATAAGAGTAACTTCAAATTCATTAAATATACAAAAGCATGGCATCCAAAAAAGTACCCAAAATCAAAACAACCCGGATTGAAGAAACCAATAAAGGAGACTTGTAAGAGCCCTTACCGTAAGTTAGAGATATTAAGGAAAAGAAACTGCTTTGACCGTTTGGGTTTTCTTCCGTTGAAGTGGGGATTGATTAGAGTAAGTATAGATGTGAAATTTTCCCTTTCTGAGAAAATAAGTACCTTTTGAACTGACAGAGTCAAAAACTCAAAAGTGAGAAAATTGTAAGTACAAAAGAAGAAACAGGTTTTTTTTTTTTTTTTTCCTCTTTTGATTTTGGGTTCTTGTTATTACAACGGAGCGGAAAATGCGGGATGGGAAAATTTATGTCGTTGTGTTTTGTAATGTAGTGGGTTGTTTTGGTTGGTTGAGGATTTTTCCATACGCAGTTTGCTACCAATTTAGAAGCGTGACACCTGTAACTTTTTTACAAATTTTTTATTCCTATGAAAAATTTTTCTTCTTTCTTTTATTCTT